CTTACTATTTTCTGATACATTTCCAAATTCAAAGGCCCTTCTATAGAAAAACGGAATACACACGTTAACAGATGAAAATATTCATGATTTTAAAATTGATTTATATAAGCAATAATTTGAGAGAAAGCATCACTTTGCAATGAAAAGACTTTGCCAGTATTTTGTACTTTGTTTTAAAAAGGCAAAGGAATACATGAACATTTTCAGACCTTTTAGGCAATGATGCTAAAGAAAGCTCACACATAAGCTTTGCTATTGTGGTGTAAACAACTTAAAATACCAACCCTGTGACTGCCAAGACTTCGAGTGGACAATGCATCCTCAACTTCCTGATAAAATTAAAAACAGAGTAAAAGTTTGTGAGTGGCTACATTAAGTTAATGAGAATAAGTATTAGAGGCAGGTTTAAAGGTTACTACAAACCAGATAAGGACGATGATGACGGGATCGGTGGGAATACCTGGCCTTTTCTGAATCTTCCTGGGAAAGGGGAAAGTACATGGAGAGTTAATTACTGAAGAGACAGTTATTTATCAGAACCAAGCAAAGAACAGACAGTTAACAGCACAACAGCACCTTTCTTAGAGCAGGCAGGTTTGTAAAAGCCTCAAAAGCTGAGTTTGGGGCAGCCACATGCTTTGGTTGGAAAGAAAGTAGAAATAATCTTGGCTATGTTTTTATTTTACCAGGTGTATGTGTCTGACACTGTAGATTATAGGATATAATCTACATATGACCAAGAGAGCTCAATATACCAAGATAAATATTCACAAGCATACTTAACAAACAGAAGGTGAGTTCAGCATTAAAAGTAAACTTTTTTTTCATTGTGAGCGTTAGTTTATAAAAGGCAAGAAGAAATGTTTACTTTATCACACGTGTATTTTAAGGAGACAGTCTATTGCTTGGGTTATACTGAATTTCTTTTCTTTTTTTTTTTCTTTCTCCACGCTAACTGGAAAAAGAAAACAACTAAGTGAAATAAACCCTGACTGTGTGTTATTAATATGAAAAACTACTTAGAAAAAATTACACAAATATTTTAGAGTTGGTAAAGTTATCATAAGAGCCATGTCTTAGATTGAAAAAAATTGACCACAATTTTTTGGTCAATTTGACTAAATTAACTCACTAAATTTGACTAGCAATTGACTAAATTAAATGCAATTCCAAACTTTTGACATTCAACTACTACCAATGGAGCATTAAGACTTGAGTCATGTGAAAGCAAATGACTAGTCCCTAGAACCGAATAATCAATGCCATCTTTTCCCAAATAAATCAATGCCTTAAATTCCATGGAAATCCAGCAAGATCATTACAAAAGTGGAACAAATAGATGAGGCCATGTCTGACCATTCATTTCAAAATAGAAACAGTAATTCAACTGAAACACCACAATTTAATGCTTTATCTTGGTCATGATCTTTGAACATAATTCCCCAAAAAATTCTGGTTGACATCTGCTGTCTCAAAATATATGTTTAAGTAAAACAGTAAGGCAAGTTCAAAGTAAATTTTCATTACCCCAAAAACATCCAAAAAACATATTCTACTAAGAGACTGCCAAGTAGAACCACTTTTATATAGAAAAGGAAAAGCATTTTCATTGCTACTCCTACATGGAATACTTTTGCATAGTAGCAAATGTGAGGGAATAGAAGGAAATCGCTGTATAAAAGACCCTGGTAGTAACTAAAATTAACTTAAAATTATCTTTTAAGATAGAAAGGGCCTTAGTGATCATCTAGTCTGATCCCTTTATTTTACAGTAAAGAAAGCTGTAAGAAGGATTAAATATGAATCTACAAGGTCATAAAGCTGGGACCAACATTCAGATCTTCTGACTCACCAGACTACTGAACCATAAAGATACCATCCTACACTGGATGAATCTCCACTAATTACATAGGGAAAAAACAAACAAACAGAAAGGGCAAGGTATTCTGGTTTTTACTCAGAGATTCCTCCTTCTCTGAAAGGTCAGAAAGCTTCATTTCCCAGGTATTTCTACAGTAGTATTTCAGTAGTACCTACATTTCCAATTGGCTTTTCTTGAATTAATAGAACCAATGGCCACATAGAAAAGAGTATAGCAAACTGTGTTCTTAAGTACTAATTATAATGCAGAGTATCCCTGTTTTCCACAGTCAGGAAAACAATACATTGTCATTATCCTAGGAGTCCATATTAGCACTAAAGAACCCAAGACTGAAAGAACAGGGCAATGCCTTAAAAGATGGATGCATATTCATTCAAATGTTTCTGGGAAATTGTTTTGATATATTTAAATTAAATTAATAGAAATAGAACATACTCTTTGTTCTTAAAAGTTCACTCGAAGTGAGAAAGAAGTGGTTTTATTAAAAGAAAACCACAGTCCCACGAGGACACCTGGCCATCTTCTTTATCAACAAACATTTATTACGTTGGGGCTAGAGTCATTCCTTTATTTTCAAATTAGGAAACTTCAGACATTGCATTTACTCTTCCAGACATGCATTTATTCTTTCATACATGTACCAACATGCTACTGACTAAGACATCCAGTTTAAAAACAGAACCATTAGGCTCATGGAAAGTTGGCTAAACCAAGACTATTTGGAAACCCAAGAAGACTTAGGCCCTTTTCTTCTTGGTCCTAATTAGCAGCTGTGGCAGTCTCTCATGCCTTCAAATTCCGGCTCTGCCAGTGACGAAGCAAGTTATTTACTTCACCCATCCTTTATCTCCTTATCTATAAAATGGAGATAATGACACTTGTCTTATAATGTGAAATGAAAACCTACGTAAAAAGAATTGGCACACTGCTGGCAAACAGTACACACACAGTCAGCTTCATTCCTGAGCCTCATGCCCTTGCATTTCCTATCTACGTCCCAACATCCCACTCCCACCACAAAAAAGTAAAAATTTTTAATATGTAAGAACTCTTCCTTCTAGTTACTGACAGTCCTATTGTGTGTGTATACATCATTTATTTTATTATATACGTGTTAGCCACTGATATTTAATACTGCAACTACCACATGCCAATTGCTACTATGGGCTCACAGACAAAGCAGCCAAAGAGACAAGGATAAGATAAGAAGTAAAAGAAAGAATCAGTAAGCAAAAAATGAAAACACACATTCATTTACTCAATTCTTCTTGATCAGGAGTGTTCATGAGATGAAGGTGAAGCTACTGACCACAAAAGAAAATGGGTGGACTCCAGTACACATTTAGTCCATTATAGACAGAATAGACACACTCTAACCTTTAGGTTAGAACAAGCAAAACACTCCTTTGCAAACTATTAGTGCTTTACTTCAAGATTGCATTGTTTCAGCAACTGATCACAACATGCAGGACAGGCAATCCTGGCCTACCAGCCACTTCTGAATCTGTCCCCATTTCCGATCAAAGGAATGATGAGAGTGCTACAAATGCAAAAGTTTCATAAACTGAACAGTTTCCAATATACTGCATTCTCCAAAAAGTCTTAAATTAGTCATATACACTTGCCCTAAAGAGTAATGATAGTTGACTCAAAGTTACACATTCAAAATACAGAAAATTTCTCCACTGAAAGAGTTAATAAAAAGGAAAAAAAGATAACGAAAAAGAAAAAATATTACTAAGATAAATATGTTCAATAATAAAAAGATTCATGGTTCTCTGTAGTTTAGAGGACCATAAATAGAACTTATAGTATTTAATAATTGTCTCCTCCACTTATTATTTATTATACTTTTAGGAGTATAAAAGAAAATGCATTACAACATTTCCATTTCAAGCCAAGAACCGCACTCAATATATGAAACTATACATGGTTTTTAAAAAATTAGCAGCATATCAACTGTTTTTGTTTTTCTGAGCCATGACAATATGGAATATATAAATTTCTTTTTAATGGTTAGCAGAAAATCCACCACCAACATCAAAAGAAAATGTTTAATAGTGTCCCACAGGTTTTTTCCCCCTTGATACAAATACAACCTCAAAAATATTTTTTATGGGGGCCGGCCTGTGGCTCACTCGGGAGAGTGTGGTGCTGATAACACCAAGGCCACGGGGTCAAAAATATTTTTTATCGGGGGGTGTGGGGTGGGGAAGAAGATATAACAACTATACTTTTTTTGTAGTTGTTACAACAAACAAACGGAAAGGACATTCTTGGGGGGGGAGGGGAGAGAGGGAGGAGGGCGGGAAGTGTCGGTGGTGGGCCATAATAATCATATACATTGTATATTGACAAAATAAAAATATATATATTTTTTATGGTAATTTTCAGGGCCAAGTCAAAGTCAGAAGGAATGAATAAAAAGAGTATTTGTTTTATTTTAATCAGCGTAATTTCCATATACCTGTTTTTTTCTGCTTTTCATTCTGATGATTAAAGCATATTGAAAATTTATAAACTATAGAAAAGCATAAGAAGAAAGTAAAACCAACCATAATTCCACCACAGGCAAACCAAAACATTGACAGTAACCACTTTTTTCTAGCAGTTTTTGAACCTATATATGGATATAGAATTTTTAACACAAACTTGGGTCCTAATAGTTTTATAGTTTTGGTTGGGTTTTTAATTTTCTTACATGAATATTTTCCTCTATTTTTAAATACACTTCAAAACTGTAAGGTTGAATGACTTGACATTGTTTTACTAGATAGATATCATAATATAATTAATCTCTTAATTAATTATATTTAGGACATTTAGAGCTATACTAATCATTTCTAAATCGACCTTAGCTAATACAAGTACTTATAACATTATAATAACTTATAACAGCATATATAATAAGATCTTTATTGGTGTCTGTTGTTATTATCTAAGATAAATACTACATTTAATTTGCTGACATAGAATGGCTTGTTAAAATACATATATCAGTTTATACTATTCCCAGTGTTTCTAAGGGCTGGGGGACTGGATTCACATCAGAAGTAAACCAATCAAGTATTAATATTGGGGAGATGAACATAAAATTAGGGTTATTTCCCCAAATTACCTCTTTTTGTTGTCGTTCCAGTTCTCTCATGCGTATATCTCTTGCTTCTGCCCGGGCAGCCCGCTTTGCTGCCAGCCTTGCCTCTGCCTGAAAAGTAATAGAAAACTCAGCTTTATAAAATAAAAACACTAGATTTGAAAATAAGGAGCAAATGAGACATTACCTTCCACAGGGGGTGGAGGAGACAAAGTATCACCTACCAGCAAGTATGACTGATTTGCTTCTTCAGTCAACTCCTATACACTCGTTTCTGTCTCTAGGCCCAAAGACCCTCCTCGAATCTGGACCTTTACCTTTAACTGCTTGCCTTGATTACACATTCGACACGTCTCACGTAGTTGGTTACACGACTCTCCAAGCTTGCTCTTTTTCTAGCAGATCTTTCCCTACCAATTCAGTCAAACAAACTAGAAACTTAGAACCAGGCACTACTTCATTTTGGACATTGCTAATATTCAGTCTCCAAGTACTGTCAATTCTCTGCCACTGACTCTCTCTCAAACCCATCTTGGCTTTCTTTATTCTCACTGTTCCTGCTTATTTCAGGAACTCTTCATCCCTCTATCTCTTTCTACCTCTTTCACATACCATCAAATTAACCACTTAAAAGCATACAATTCAGTGGATTTTAGTATATTCACAAGAACGTACAACCATCTCATCACCCCAAAAGGAACCCCATACCCATTAGTAGTCACACCCAATTACCCCTTCTCCCCAGCTCCTGTCTCTTGGATTACTAATCTACTTCCTGTCTCTATGTATTTGCCTGTTCTTGACATTTCATACAAATGAACTCATACAACAGGAACTCTTCACTTCTTGCATGGGCTACTGCAACTGCCTCCAAATCCATCTACCTACCTCCAAAATATGCCCTATAATTCATCTTCAACATGGTTATATGATTGACAAATCAGCCTTTCCAAACACATTTCTGATCATGTCATTCCACTGTGTAAAATCTTCCACTGGCTCCCCATGACTTATGGTTAACACAAAAATTCCATAGAACAGCATGAAGAGAAGAATAGGAAAAGGAAGACAAAAACAGCTCCTCACAGTCAGATTCCCACTTATTTCCAGTGCAGCAATCCCCCCTTATCCGTTCTTTCACTTTCCACAATTTTAGTTACCTGTGGTCAACTATGGTCCAAAAATATTAAATGTAAAGTTCCAGAAACAATTCATAAGTTTTACATTGTGTGCAGTTCTGAGTAGCAAAATTGGCATTTGTGCATTAAATTTCTAAGAGAGGCTACAGGTACAAAGCTAATATACAGGGCCGGCCCAGTGGCGCACTGGATAAGTGCGCCGCTTGGGAAGCGTGGCGGCGCTCCCGCCGAGGGTTCGGATCCCACATACAGACCGGTTCCCGCTCACTGGCTGAGCGAGGCGCGGGGGCAACACCGAGGGTTGCGATCCCGTTGCCGGTCCCCGGTCCGGTACGGGGGCAACACTGAAGGTTGCGATCCGTTGCCGGACACGGAAAAAGACAAAAGACAAAAAAAAAAAAAAAAAGCTAATATACATAGAAATGAAAATTCCTACACATTGCTATGGCTTTCTTAAATTGAAAAGGTTTCAAAGTTTTGATACTTTGTAATTTAAAAATGTATTCAATGTTATAACACCAAGGTCAAAGGTTCAGATCCCCCTACCAGCCAGCCACATATACACAAACACAAAAAAAGTATTCAATATCTACTGAAGCATAATTTAGCCTTGAAGTCTTTTTCTATAAAATACAAACTCTAGTAAGAAAGTGGTGTCTACTCATAGTCAGAGGGGTAAAGAAGGCAGATATCTTGAAGCAGAATATAGGTTTTTAAAAGATAGAGACCACAGTAAAATTCATGAGGGAAGACTAAGTGCTCTGAATGTGTCAGTGGTTACAGCTTATAAGGCTGGTAGATTATGTTACTTTGCAGGGTTTTTGCTACTAAAAGGCCAGTTAAGTAGACTGGGAAACTGCCAAAATTGGGGTAGCTGAAAAGGAGCTAACTCTTAAACTGTCTCCCCTTCTTAGAAGCCTGCTGTGACCTTGCCAGGCAAAACTAATTTCTCCTTTCTACATGCTTCCTTCCCTATAAGCATTGTGTTTCTGACTGCCTCAACTTTGTGAGCTGCTTTAGGGCAGAAATGACATATCTTACTCTATATTTTCAGCACCTAGCATAACTGCTTACACACAGTAGATCATTTTAAACACTATGTCTCTTCTTCTTATGAGACTTGGGCACAAATATAGCAACATGGGAAGAAGCAACTCTGGTAGTTAGAGAGGATAATCTAAATCAGAGTTAGGATGTGGCCAAGAACAGAGGAAACCACTACAAGATAGGAAACAGAGAGAAGATTTTTAACTTTCATGTGGTACATCAAGCTATTTCCTTATCTCATTTCCTTGATCCCCGGGCCCAGAGCCTGAAAGTCATTTGTTTACTCAGCAGACACTGAGGCATGAAAGTTGTGGGGTGACAAAAGCATGCAATTTTAATACAATGTAATAAAGCCACAATAGAGGCATGAGTATAGAATACTACTCTATGAAAGAGGGAATGGGAGAAATCTTCATGGAAGGTAATGTTTTAACTGGATAAAAGAGAAGGGAGAGCGGTCCTCCTGCCAAGCAAATAATCTGAGAAGAGAGGCTTAACAGAACACAGTAGAGTCCACAAATGGAGGGAGATGGGATGCACCTGGTACGTGTGGCTCAAGTAGAGTAGTCCCCCTCTATCCTCGGAGGATATGTTCCAAGACCCCCAGTGGATGCCTGAAACCTTGGATAGTACCAAACAACTGATGGCAATCAGAACATATTTCTGTTCATGTCTTCCACCCACAAATGTAATGTCTTTCCATCTTAACTAAACACTTATCAAGCACTGTGGCCAAAACTTTTGCAGTTTAAAGAGCGACAGCAAAATTACCATGAATTTCTTTTTCTTTCTTCACAATTCAGACAGAAGATTAGTTCTTACCATAGATCTTAGCAACCTCAGCATACAATATTTGTTCTTTCCTTATTAAGTCAAAAACTGTCCTGGGTTGAATGTCCCCCTAAAACTTAATCCCCATTGTAACTGTTAAGGGTGGGAAACCCTATTATGGTAATTGAATGGTGGGGATTTGAAGAGGTGATTAGATTGTAGGACCATGCCATAGTGAATGGATTAATAATGGTGGTCAGAGATGTGGTTTTGAGGGCTTTAAAAGGGGAGCATGAAGAGTCTGGTCCTCTGTTCCATCATTTTCTGCAATGTGACTCCAGCATTGCTGTAAAGCAACCACCAAAGAAGGCCCTCACCATAAGTGTTCCCTGTATTTTGGACTTCCCAGCATCTGAAACTGTAAGCAATAAATTTCGTTTTCTTTATAAATTACCCACTTCTGTGTATTTTGTTATAAGCAACAGAAACAGATTAATACAACAACTTTCACCTTTTCTCTTAAAAAAAGCACTTTACGGCTTCTCTTTGACATATCCCAAATTACCAGTATCACTACTCTTGTGCTTTAGGGACATTATTAAGTAAAATAAGGGTCACGTGAACATGAGCACTGTGATACTGACAGTGGATCTGACAACTGAGAAGGCTACTAAATGACTAAGGTGCATGTAGCATCTACAGCGTGGATGTGCTGGACAAAGGGATGATTCACATCCCAACTGGGATGCAGCAGAATGGAGAACAATTTAAAACTTATGAATTGTTAATTTCTAAAATTTTCCATTTAATATTTTTGGGCCATAATTGACCATGGGTAACTCAAACCATGGAAAGCAAAACTGCGGATAAGGGAGAACTACTGTACGATGAACTATGCAGGCTTTTAAAAACAAAATGGATACCACTCAACACTGTGTCACAGTAAAAATGTGCAACCTATTTTTAAATAAACAAGAAGAAGAGTATTTCCAAGAAATATAATATAAATGGCCTTCATTATCAATGGAAAAGGTTTTCCTGCAAAACCTCACCAGTTCAGCACTTTTCTCTTTTCATTATTCCAGTTCTGACACTTTTATTATGTTCCGTCCTGTGCCAATGTTTTCATGACAGAAGTTTTAAGACCTAAGGAGACATTCCCTCCACACTCTATCAAGCAATCAACAGACTTCCCAGTCTTAGTACCCTTCCTTTTTACTTCTCTGTAGTCCCACTGGAAGAGCTGTCCTTTCTCCTGGTATTTAAGGTCAAACCTCCCCCATCCTTACACACACTCACACGCACCCCCCCCAACCATGCTATGTGAACTCCATCTTCCCCCGGGAACTTGCCCCAACTATCTGATCTTTCTTTGCAGTCTTCACTTTCTCCTTCCATTGGCTCATTCTCCTCATCCTAAGTGGGTTCAAAGTCTCTTCCATCTTTAAAAAACAAAAACAACCAAGGTCAAGGGTTCAGATCCCCTTACAGGCCAGCCACCCGCCCCCAAAAAAAATCCCACCCTGGTTCAATTCTTACTTGTCTTCTCTTTAAAGCCAAGTTTTCTCACACCTCCCTCCTCACTTCTCACTCTTCAAATGACTGCAGTCTGACTTCTGCTCAAATCACTTTAGTGAAATTGCTCATGCAAAAGTCACTAATGACCTCTAGCTATCAAACCCAATAGAATTTTTCTACCTTATCTCACTTCTCCTTTCTGGACATCCAACATCATTAACCACTCATGCCTTCTTAAAATTCTCATCTCTTGGCTTTCAGCAATATTAGTGTCTCCTGAATTTCCTTTTTACTCTCTGACCGCTCTTCTTCAGAATCCTTCACAAGCAGATTTTTCTCTGCTATCACTTTAAATTTAACTTAACTAAAGCTTCCAGGCTTGATTTCTCACTCTTTTCATTCTATGTTCTCTCCTGGGTGATACTGAATAGTCTATAAATCTTCATGTCTAAGCCAGACTTTCTCCCACAATCCTGATCCAACTGGCTATTAAAAATTAGGGCTGTCCCACTAGAACCTCAGACTCAATAGATCCCTAATTTAATTTATAATCTTTCCTTTATACATTCTTTTCCTCTTTATATGCCCCCCATCAATTGCCCTATTACCCAAAATATGAAACAAGATCATCATAAG